TATAAAATATAAGAAACAAGCCCTTGATTAACAAACACAACATAAAAATGCACTCAAAACCCAAAATCTAAACAGAACAAAAAGCCATCTCATCAAACAGTAATCTCACCCAACAATCCACCCAACATCTAACAAGCACCCGCCGCCAATTCCCCAACCACAAATCCCAATCCAGTAGCAACTGCACTCACGCCACCTGTTGTTGCAGCCGAAACAGCTTTGAACGCACCTTTGATCGCAAGACTGAGCACGCTGTCCACTTTGCACTCATTCCCCTTTTCCACGGTAAAAACAACGGTATCTCTATCTTCCCAATCTAGCATTGCCTGTTGCGCAACTTGCACTTGGACTTTGATTTGTTTGGGAAAGGGAAGCGTATGCGTAGCTTCTGCGAGGATTTTACTTCCGGAAGGCCATGCTCTTTCATCTCAAATGATTTGTTAATTTTTTGATCTCTTTTCTTTCCATCAAAGTCTCGCAAGGGGATAGTTACCACTGATTTTATCCTGGGCCCATAACTCAGGAAGCATTTTCTCCGCCACCAACTCCGCAACTTGCTTGATCCGATCAGCTTCATAATACGGATCTCCCTCTTTCTCCATCCGATTCACCGCATATGTCATCTTGTAATCTTTGCTTCCGATTTTATATCCTTCCCCATCCGCAGCATTACTCTTGTAGTGATCCTTCAACCACAAAAAAGCATTTGTCACCTGTTCCTGCACTCCATGATCATTCTTGATATCGTAATTCTGTTGTCCCAGAAACGGGATACTTTGCATCGTACTCGAAGTCGTCACAATCGTGCGACGGATCTGTCGCGAATTTCTTGTGCAGTAGTATTTCGCACTACATTTGACGTACATTTTTTCTCCGTAATCCTGTTTCCAAGACGAGACAGAGTTGTTGTAGCAGCGCATGGGTGCGCCTCCTAGATCAGCATATCCAGTAACGAACGTCTTGCCATCTCCCATTTCCGTGAGTCCCCATACTTTGAACGGCTTCTTGTCGAGTGTGCCGGTTATGGGTTTTCCTTCTGTACCCGAAGTCCAGTCCACGGGATGGTTTTGGTCGCCCGGGTTGGAGGCATAGGCTTCGTCGAATTGCTTGCCTTTGATAGAATCGTCGTAGTTTTTGAAGTACCAGAGTTTGTCGTCTCGGCCGTTTGGTGTGGCGTCGTTGCTTTTCATATACTTGAAGCAGGTTGTGAGAAAAACTGCTTCGTCTAGTCGTTCGTCCTCTCGTGGAAGAAGTGGGCTGCCCAGTACTAGTGGTGCGACTGCAAGGAGAAATGTCACAAATCCGGAGAGATACATTATGGTAGCAAGATGTATGATGCTAATAAGTGGAATTTAAAGATAGACTGAAGTGATTGAGGTGTACAGAATTAAAGCCAAAGAAAATTTGTGTGGATGAACAAAAAAGCAATGGAGCTCACTCTCATTATATACCGCCCGCATCAGAGCCAAATAAGTGTCTCCAGCTACTCGTCATGCGAGGGAATACTATTCAGACTTGAAATCTTACATTCGGGAACATGGAAATATCGTAAGTTCAAATTACGCACATATTTTTCTAGTTCTACACGATAGCAGATACAAGCCCGATAGACGGCGACCTCAGGAAATTGCAAAGTAGTGAGGATACTGACAAGAGATTATCCTCTTTGTACAGCATCACATCTAAATCGACTATAAGCACCGATTAGGAACATATTGACGGGTCTTCTCCGTTGACTTTGCTACTGTTGAAGTTTGGCTTTACACAAGCCCCTATGTAATCAAGCATTAGTTCGTTTCGCATCTGGTAGATGTAGAATATGGTACGATATCTTACTCCTTAGTTTCCCTACTCCCCTTGGACATCAGATATTGTAATTAGCAGTTGTCAACTCAGCTACGCCGAACGTCTCTTGCTGAGACATCTTTAAAGGAATTCTTACTACAGCATATCCCAAACGCCGAATTGTAGGGCCAACAAACGAATTGGAAATTGGTTGGAATATGAGAATTATCCCAGATTGACCAATCACTAGACTTGGTAGCTCAAGGCCATTCAATTCTTGCTCTGCTCTGCTGACAGCATGATATCCACAAGGCTGAGTCGCGGCTGACTTTTCTCCATTTTTGTGCTTTGTGTAATGTTTGTCGACCAGAATCCTTTGTCATCGGGCTTTATTTGAGATTTGTTTGCCCAGATAGATTAATCACCGAGCAGTTTACTTCTCTCCTATTACAGATAGTTCGAGTTTCGAGAGAACTTTGAAGTGAATGAGAATATGAATGATTGCTCGAGTCAAGATGTATTTCAGCATTGGGAAATGTGTCTGGTAAATCTGACGTCTCTGGTATATTTCGCTGGTAATTGAAATCAAAATAGTTGAAAGTGCGTGTTCGATCCATCATTTCTTGCAAATATCTGGAACGAAGTCTTTCGGAGGTACCGATTCGTTGCTGACCACGATACCTTGGCGTACATGATGCCAAGGTAAACACTAACGGCCATCTCCCGAGGACTTCTGTATGAGTTTTTGCTTTGTGAAACCTTTCGACGATGGTATTTCCGACTACGAGAGGTGTCTCTATCGATCGTCAAAGTTAGTTTATACTTGAGAAACACAGAGGCTGCATGCTGTATGGAAGTCTCTTGTCGACGTTGTGACAAACTACATTACCACGCTGATGGTTTCTGCAAAAATTTGTAGATCTCCAACACAATCCCTCATCATTCCAAGATTCTATGAGAAATCGCCATTCGAGACCATTGATGTATAGTCTTTAATTTTGAACCAGATACCGAACATAAGATCGTAAAGCTTACCAAAAGTCCAGTCTAAGCTCAGTTTGCGACTGAGATTTTGTAGAATTGAAAGGAGAAGAAGTTTATTCTACTCATGAGGCAAGATACCTACAAGAATGAATTCTTCTAACAATTCTGAAGATGCTTTGATGCTGCATTTTGAAGAAATTCAACTATTGCAGTGTATACCGGCTTGCAAATCACATTCTCATCTTGCCTCTTAGTAAGTTCAGCGATGAAGATGAGGATTGAACCATATAGAAAGTCTTGTTTAGGCACTTGCGATTAACCACCCAATCGCCCAATTCTGCGGCTTCTCATGGTCCCTTCCTTCCTTCTATTGGAATATATAGAATATACTTAGAATGTAGGCAAAGATGTAAATATAGTATCTTTCACAAGTGAATAAAACTTCGTGAACATCAAGCAATTGCATTGTACTCTTTAACATATCAAACTTCAACCAGCAACCACAGATTCTATCGCAGAACATTTGATCTTCTCCAAATCAACATGGCCTCAGAAAAACATGCGGAAAGCAGTGAAGAACATCGTTCTGCCATCATTGCGTACGAATATTATGCAGATGTAGCCTACCACTGTCCTTTATGTCTTGTGAGATACACGAAAAGAAACCCCAATTGTATTGTTGCTGCTGATGCTCTATTCTGCAGGGATCTGGACGCATTCCGCGTAGAATGAACAATATCGCAGAAAGGTCTGTCGCCTCGGTTGATGGGCCACAAATTGAGGAGAGGAGAAGTGAGGTTAGAGCGATTGAGATTATATGGGCGAGACTAAACGACGAGGAGAAACGCGAATTTGAACAGAAGCGTGAGGATGAGAGGAGAAAGATTCCAGACGCAAGTATTGCAACGGCGCAAAGCAACAATGCTGAAAGTAAAGGACTTGGAGATGGAAAAGAGAGACGCGAGGCTAAAATAAAGAAATACGTTCGGCTTACCGTTAGTGAAGGAAATGAACTGAAAGATCAGAAAAAGAGGGCCTTGAAAGGAGTGAACAAAATCATAGATGAGGCCACTTTGGAGGAAAACGAACTTGGTAATGATAAACAAAAAATACTCTCGGATAGAATGAAACAAGTCGCAGAGAATGCTGCTGAGTTGCAAAGAATCCGGGATGAAGATCAAGGACTCGAGGAGAGAATGAATCAAGTTATGGAGACTGACGGTGCTGAAAGCTTAGAAGAACTCGAAATCATGAACAAGTTTTATGAGCAGCAAATCAACAGACTTCAGAATATGAACAGAAGATACAAGGAGAGAAAAGGACTTGGGGAGAGGATAAACAGAGCTGTTGAGGTTGATGCTGAAGGTGGACAAGAGCTTAAAGACTCACACAAATTGGATGATTACAAGACCAAAGAATTTGGAGATGAGCAAAGCAATTACATGGATCCGGTGGAAAGCCTTGCGGATCGCAAGAAAAGAACCGAGGATGAAAAGAAAGAGAAAAACTAATGCAAAGAGCTTCATGAATTATGAGGGAAAATTCATCAGTTGTATGAGAGAGAAAGCAGAAATAATTGCTAGGTAAAAAGATGGGATTTGGGTGCAAGCGAGGTAAAAAGCATCGTAGATTGAAATAAAGGAATTGAGCAGTTTCTTGGAGACAGAGCTGGTAAAAGCTTCGCAGTATAATTCCAAACCAATCGAAAGTCCAACGTCCCTACTAGACTGATATCTCTTTCAAAAATCATTGTCTCAGCTAATCATTTACACACCTTCAAAGTAAAGTGAACGCAAAGAAAATTTGTTCAAAGTCGAAGACCACAACCCAAAGCCCACAGCCCAGTCTGCGAGCTTTCTTCTCTATCAATATTTATAATCAGTTTATATCATTTTCCCCGACCAACCTACAGACACCATCTCCTTTCTCCCATTATCTTCGATTCCAAAAGTTGCATGTTTGTGGACCTGGAAAAAATTACGGCTCTGATCTTGGAGGAAGGTATTAGATTTTATTGTTTCTTGACGATCCATCCGGCTGCGGATTCAAGATCACTTGTTGGTTCTTTGAGGTTTGAAACAGTGACGGAAATGCTTCCAGTCCGTGGTCTGACTAGTGATGAATCACTGATTGAGTATTCCACTGGTATCTCATGCCGGGGGGGAGGGGGGGGTGCTAATGGAAAATTTGGATGTTCTAGTTTCTGGACCGAGTAACAACTTGTAGTCCGACTAATTCGGAAGAACTGGACTGCTACTTGACTCTACCACACTGAATGTAGGAGTTCTGGTATAAATCTGAATAAGTGTATAAATCGAACTCAGATATGTTGTTGTTTTTGATTCTGCCATATCTCCTGGAAGAAAGCTGACAGTAACTGGAATAGAAGATACGGAGAAAGACTGGGCACTCGATTTGACACTAGGCGGAGATGCTGGAGCCGGGCTCGTAGATTTGGGAGATGTAGAAACGACCAGTGTAGTCACAGTAGGGACCGATTCGACAAAGAACCCGGTATTCCATACACTGGATGTACTGACAAACGATTGAATATCACTGTTGAAGGTCTTATCGAGTGGTGATAATGACGGTACTAAATCAGTCAAAGAAGACGCTGTAGTGGTAGAAATCTTAACCGTTGAACTAGCTGTCTTAATCATTGATGAGCAAAGGCAGTGGCTGCGGCTGTGGCTGTGGCTCACTCCAGGATTTGGTTCTGTGTTAACCTGAACTGTACTAGAGCTCGTTGTAAAAATGTCAAATTCAGACAGAGTCTCTGAACTATCAATCGTACTGAATGTGACTGAAAATTCTACACTGCTGGTGGATTCAATGACACTGAGGCTTGTGCCAAGTGAGATGACAGTGGATGATGTTGCAGTTTCGATGATGCTAGGCACATCACTCGGTTTTGCGGAGGGCACAGTATCGGTAGCTGCTGTCAGGGTCTCAGATTGATATGAAATTGTCGTGATAGACTCTATTGTAGAGCTCTGCGGTGTAATAGTCGCTACAGAGTCTGATAGAGATGAACTAATTCGTGACTCCGAGGCACTTGGGGATGAACCGATCGATCCTGAAGCGCTTGGCGATGAACTACTTCCACTATTCCCTGAAGAGGAAGGTGAAGGAACGGTTGTAATTGGCTCAAAGCTGCTTGGATCAGGTGGAGGGACTGACGGAACCTCAGATGAATATGAAATTGAGGGGTTGATTGGAACTGTAGACAGAGTTGCTACAATTGTGGAGAAGGTTGATAATTCGAGTAAAGGCGTTGTACTAGAATCTTCCGTAAAACTTTCAGATATGAGTAGAGTTGTGATGCTAGGTTCTGTTGTGAAGATAGTAGTGGAGGTTGCTAAAGACTCAATGCCACTAGATACAATACTGGAAGAGGCGGAAGGTGTAATACCACTTAGTTCAGCAGAAGACAATGGCGATTCCGTCGGTATAACAGATATTCCAGTTTCAGAAGGAGTTAGTACTGTAGAGTTAGATGTAGATGGAGCAACTGGGAGCACAGAAGTGCTAGTACTGATCAAGATCGATGGAGAGACCAAAGAAGTGGATTGTGAAGGACTCAGAAAGACTTCAGAAGTAACCGTGTTGGTGGACGATGGAGTAGAAGTAGAAGCCGAGGTCCCAGATCCAGATGTAGTAGTCTCAGATCCGCCTAAAGGGAATGTAATGGTGGTAGTGGTAGTGCTAGGTGGTAATGAAGCGGTAATCCATTCGATCGTGGTACTGGTAGCGCGGGGATTTGACTCAGAGGGCAGAGCCTGAGACACATCCGAGGAACTTAATCCTGGATCAGGCGTTCCCGTTATATTGATGGGTTCCGATAGCTCTGTGGGGATAGCAAAAATAAAAGGAGAAGATGCAACGCCAGTTTGAGTTGTAATCTCCGCAAATGATAATGCAGTGGTACTTTCTGTAGGATCAAGCACGGATGCAGTAGAATTTGGTGATAAGGATGAGCTGATTTGCGATACAGCTTGAGCGAGTGTGAAAGATACTGAGTCACAAACAAGGAAAAATAGGAATATGGAATATATGATGTACATATTTCATTAGGGAGCAGTGCAAATGGATGAATCAGGTGCGAATGCTATCGCCGTCAAGAGCTTAACTGGCTATACTGTGAGTGTGATTCTCACAAACCGCTGTCTACGAGAATTAGGAAGATTTGACTCGGAAGTGGTAACAAATCTTTCTGCCCATAGTGAATTTGAAAAATCGTGTCACCGAATCATGATACTAATCTAACCGAGCTAGCCTAGGGAGAGTCCTGACAACTCCCACAGAACAATTGTTATCCGAACGATCTCAAATGACAATGTTGATTAGTTTATCGAACTTTCGATCACCAATCCAATTCATTGAACTTTCAATAATCAGATTGAATTAGTATAACGGGATTCAATTATTACTTTTGCAATTGATCGAAGATATCAACTCGAAATTTGGGATAGATCTTCTTACCTATTGTTCTGGAGCTTGTTCATTTGCCATAAGAATAAGAAAAACTACACAACGGGACTGAAGTGATAGCACGCAAGTGAAGTATCAGTCAACCTTCCCGTTATTCAAGGGGTTCCGGGTTGATATTCAAGGTCGGAGATGAAGACTGTAATCTCAGTTGCATTTTACCTTCTTGTCGGTGAGTAGAAAACAAACGGGATGTTGGTCCAAAGTTGCATGAATGAGTTTACACGGTGACCGTAACATAACCTATCAGTTCGTTTACTTACCTAGTACTTAAGTACCTGCATATAGCCACCAGCCCACCAACCAAACAACTAACTATTCGATTAATAAGAATTTCAGGAGTTTGCTTATTCATGATGATCTTACGAGGGGGGCTGGTTAAGCCTATTTTTGTTCAAGACAAATAGAAATACAATGTTGGTGAATGCCATAAGACAACGCTTCCAGTTCGGACGGAGCAGTCGAAGTAGTCTAGAAGGTAGAGATCATCAAAAGGGGGCGCGGGCTGTACTTGTAAATCTCCACATCTTGTGCAACTGTCCAGTCGGTCAAATCCTCGAGATCATCGTTGGCCCGCTTCAGCTACGAATTATTGGATTCACTGAGATTCTGAGACTGAAAGAATTTTCACAATACGAGTTCAACTTGTACGTACCAGTAATACGCAGCCTTCTTCTGTTTGCTAAAATAGATCAGATGCCAAGCCCCCCCGTCAAGTTATTCTCAGGGTCGTAAGCTCAGGGGGTCGTGAAACCCTACACTGACTGGGGATGAACTCCACTAAATGACGACTTACAGGGTTGAGATTCCATCTAGGCCCATAAATATCCCCAAACAAACAAGAGCATCCCGTAATTTCTTGCTTCAACTGAAATTTTTGCTTCCTATGATACGAATAATGAGGAAAGTTCCTTTCGTACTGATCTCCCCAATCACGATCGTTTTCGATCAATCATGCCACATACGGAGTAATAATCTAGTGAATATTGACAGCCTTAAGCTAGCCACTACCATGGGTGGGCGTAGTAGGGCTGGGGTCAAATGTTAGTCGTTGGCTGTAGGATTCGTACATGTAACACGAAAAGTGGCTAGGTATTAGATTGCGGCTGTGTGTTGGTTACATTGATAAAGGGTTACTTATAAGTTCATCATGCCATCACCAGTCGTTCCCTCCTCATTCTTCATTCTTCAAACATACAATCTTTCCAGCGTCTAGATTTCCTATCCAAAAATAATCTCAATTTCATTATGCGTTCCTCAACTGTCGCTTTCGCCGTTACCTTGGCCTTGGCCAACTCCGCATCAGTTCTAGCTGCTGGTGGTTCTGCAGCTACAATCACCTATGCTTCTCCTACCATTCTCCAAACCGGAGACAGCGAAGATATCAGCATTAGCTCGACCACTGCCAGTGTGGATGCTACCAGCACATCATTGTCTGCTCTGGTCCCAATAACCTCTGTTACCTCCGTCCCGGAAAGCAGTACTTTGTCAGCGTATGAATCCTCCTTCACCTCCTACTCCATAAACTTCATCTCCTCCTACAAACCATCTGGATCAGTATACTCATCCGGTTCCGTGTCCAGTTCCATTGTCTCCGGCAAGCCAGGCGTTTACTCTAACTCCACAATCATTTCTACCGCAACTGCTTCTATCTCCAGCGCCGGCACATCTACCGCTACCGCCGTCACTGAAGTACCTGGAGCCACCAAAAGTTCCAGCAAGAGTGGAGCTGCGACAGGTGCAAGTTCAAGCGCGAGCGCCTCTGCATCGAGCTCTGCTGCTGATGCTTTATCGATGAATGGAGCATCTTGGAGTGTTGGAAGTCTTATGCTTGGTGGAATGGCTGTTGTCTTTGGTTTCTTCTAGTTGCATTGCAACATTTAATTGAGTTCACGATCGGATAATTGTATGATGGTTTATGTATGGGATTTTCGAATCAGGGCATGGAAACTGGAATGGGAGTTTAATAAGAGAGGTTATTGAATTTGAGCCTGGCATTTTGCATACCGGCACATCATCTTTGGATTTAATATTCTGATCCTACCTGATGTTGAACGCATGCATGTTCTGAGATCTTGGATACCAGGCTGTATTAATATCCAATGAAAACTAAGCTGGCTTTTTGATTGACCTTATTCTTGCAGTGTGTACACCTGACCTCAATAGGAGTCTTTAACTTTAATCGTTGCAGACTGTGAATCGACATTGGATAATTTGTACTGAATCTCAACTGAAATTGATCACATCATTGTTTTGATTCATTCTCCCAACCAGATATATTTGCTCTAATACAACCCACAGCATCTCTTTCATCATTTATCTCAATAGATCCCCAGGATCTCACTCTTGTCCAAAATGTTTTTATTTAATCTTTCAAGTGAAGGGCATAGGATGTACAAATCGGTTACTAGGCGTCTATTAGCGCTGTTTATCTCAGGAAGCTAAACTATATGATGAGCAACATTCATTGCCTATCTCTGAGGGTATACTGATTATTGAGTGATATATGAAAGGAGACAAGTTCCCTCGAACTGGCAATAAGATCAAGAGCTGTGCTCGTTGTTAATTACGTTTGTAGTTATGGTTCTGATATGCCATATCGAATTTCCCATCAAAGCAGAATTGTTCTGGAATTCTTCCAAAATTTTCTTGACATTTGAGACTCACTAATTACTTTTCTTTGCATTCTCAAAAATGTGAATGATTTACTCTGTATTTGCTAGAGTCAAAAACTGATTTATTGTGGTACTAAAATTTCATCTTGGATATCACAGAGACAAGACCATACTATCAGATACATCCTATGAAGTAAAAAAGTTCTCAAAACCCTATCATTTCCCTCCACTCAGAATAATTTGACCAAACCATTTCTGGGATCCATGCCCTTCGCCATTCAAGCAGATGTTCATAATACCCATGTTTACCGGAGCAAAACACATGAAAGTGAAACCAACAATGGAACCATGGATTGACATCATGAATGCGTGATTTCAGATCTTCCCTCATGACTTCGAGAGCTTCTTCATTCCAACTGTCCCCTTTGTTGCATGGGTTTGGCAGTACAAATGGATAGATGCTCCCTGTTTTATCTTGCTTGATGGATTCAAGATGATCGATATATCTCTTCGCCAAATCAAATTCCTTCTCACCAGCTGGTAGTTTATACGACTGACCATACACGGATTTAAGAAGAAAATGATGGGGTATAAAAACTCCGTGGCGATACTGGGGGCCGATCCAAGTATTGAGAAGCATATGGAGAGGCTTATTCTGAAATCCAGAGCCCGCTTTCTCAGATAAGTCGACTAGCTTCGGGTTGACGTATTTGAAGTACTGGTACATAAATTTACACGTAACTCCGAGACAGACACGCATACAAGGCGTAAGCTCGCGCACAATCGTTATGATTATCTCGGCGGGCATTTTGTTGATGATGCAAGGTAGGTCCTCATTTCGAAAGGATGCGAGACCTAAAAGAACTGATTAGTACAATCAGAAATAACTATTTCACAAAACTTACTAGCTCTCTGCGCTGAAGAACTTTCTTTAAGATCAGATTTCATATCAAGGAGTTGAGTTCCATCTTCCTCATTGGCTGGTTCATATTGCAGATATTTTGCGGTGTCTTCGCCATAACCCTCAAAGCTTCTCATATTGGCGATATAGGAGATATCTCGATGTGATATATCGAGAAAGATATTGTCGAAGGTAATTTATTTGAAGATCTGTTTGTGGAAGATGATAATTTGGTAGGAATAACTTATTGAGTGTGTGTGTGTGTGTGAGAGTCCATGAGACGAAGTTGACATTTATAATCCACAACCCTGCACCGTAACAGCGACTTTACCGTCCGGCAAACTGACGTGCCAGTACCAGAATAATCACTGCCGTATGACTGACTGCCTTTGGCTATACTGTTCTTCCCATCCGCACTCTAGTGAATATAAAACAACTTTCGGAGTGAATGGAATGGCCGTACTAGCTATCCCGCGAAGAAAACCGAGTAATCGAATTCACTCAAACTAGCGCGAATTCGAAAACTATCTTGCTACGTTGCCAATAGTCAGATATCAGTACCGTACAGGTCTTCATTACGTAATGTGCACTCCGTGTAGGGAAATCAAGATATCTCCTGTTAGTTAAAGAACAATCCACCTCATCGGTGATAACATTATATATATCACACGAAGAGTTCCTGAAATCCATCGAACTCCCAAAAGCACAACTAAATATCATCAAAGCTTGTACCACATGGAATATCAGCATCCAAAGGACCAAAGAATACTGAAGACGACCGAAACTGAACGAAGCCAAAAAGTTCTTTGCCGAAAAGTAATTTTGAATTCCGAGATCATGGAGTCACCTGAAAATCTAGACCAAGTCAACGACGGCGAATTAATCCCAGAGTCTGCCTCTACAGACACTCAAACTCTTGGTATCCAGCCCATCGTTGAGCGCCAGGATGGTGTGCCTAGCCCCGACCATTGTGTAGATGACGCGATCGAGACAAAGACTCGCCAAGTTACCATCAATGATCTTCCGCACGATATTCTCATGAACATATTCGACGAACTCAGTCCATGTATGATTGCTTGTTTAGGGCTTACTTGTCGCCGCTTCTATACTTCTTGCAAGATTTATCACCCGAAACCCTTCAGCCTAGCTTTATATGTTGATCAAAAGTGCAATCAAGATCTATCCGTAGCCTTTTGCAATCCATTGGGCTGTTGTCAGTTTTCCGACAAAACGACTTTCACTCCAATGTATAGCACAGTTAGAAGTTGGTATCAAGACGCACCCCTTCAAATTATCCGTAAGCAGTGGTATCCTCGTCATGGAAAGCATTTGGCCGACTTGATCGAAAACTGGCAGGGACTCTGTCATTATCGGAAAACTTGGTTAGATATTGGGAGGTACCCTTATACATTCTTCTTTCCAAGATACCTTTCGATATCTGTCTACAATCCCACCAATGAGAATTGCAAGGCAAAGCTGGCTCTCCAACATAGATATAGAGACCACTTTCTCCATTTACCTCTGTATGGTGATACCCGTGTTCTACGACTTACTAGGTCGTACCGAAGATTGCGAGGTGTACCAAGACTTGCTCTACCAAATCCTCGCCAAATGGAACCTCGAGCTTGGTTCCTTGAAGCAAAAGAATTAATCTTAAGGGACAGATACAATCATGTGCGGAAGAGCAGATGGATATACCACTGGAGAGACTATACCGTTGGGAAGGGCTGTCGAGATTGGCCCGACCAGGACATATATGACATATTCTGTGACTGGAACGCAATGATTGGTTTGTAACTATAGGAAGAGGGATTCGTGCTAGGGAAGATTGACGACCATGCAAAGAGACTGCTCAATCTCAAATAGTTGCCAAAACTCAATTTAGCTTTAATCTAAAATAAAATGCTTTATATGATCACTATAGGTAATCATAGGAGAAAGACCTTGGCTCAGAAAAAATGCAGGCAATGCCTTTTCCTATTTTCATAATGCAAATGTCAGAATTCAATAAGTTTCATTCCAAAAAGAATATAAAGAACATAACAAAACCAAAGTTATCTTTATTTACCGCCTAAATTACAACAATACTAGAATATGAAGTGATCAGAAATACATGGTTCCCTTCTATTTTTGCTTCTAATGAATCATATTTGAAGCATTCTCGTTGATGTTGCACATTTCTGCCTTCTCCGACACGCCCTTTCTCTTCAGATCTAGCCCCCGCAACGTAACCAAGGTAGTAGCGACATCTGATTTCTTGAACAAAAAAAATAAAAATCAGATATTCAACTGTTGCGGTTTACAAATCCAGGAATCTTCTTGACTCTTCACCGGCATAATGCATATCCACTCTTCAGGCCCTGGATCTACTCTGTTCAGAGCCAAAAGCACAGGACTAGGATCCAGACTGGAAAAATTAAAAGTCACAAAGGTGTCTCTGAGAGCACCGTAAGAGGGAACACACATCCAATCATCCACTGTTTCATTCCTTTCGCCTAGATGACCCCATGATTCAGCAAGGCAGTTACGAGAAGAAATGGGGAAAGTTTCTTACTGAAGGTGGATATTCCATCACGCAGTTCAAGAGCGCAGTTCTTGTCGTCGGATATTGTGTGATTCTTTTGATGGTTTCTGTTTCCCCACTATTCGGTATGTAAGCTTTAAGATATGTAAAAGTTGGTCGCATAGAGAATTTGATATCTTTGACGCAAACGTTATATTGAGCAGGGGAACGAATGTATGCATGTGCTTACACCTGCTAGATTCAAAGTGAGCTGTAGACTGTTATCTCCAATTTCTTTGAACTGACAGCAATTCGTATAAGCTTCAGCACTGGTAGCAACAGCGGTATTTGTTAGAAAGGTCTCTGAAGGAGCAGCACGGGCGATAAGCTCGTGAGCTTTGGTAGGCGTATCAACATTGGGATCTATGGCTGGTATAGCATGAGCTGATGCCATGGATGCTGCTGTGAGCAAAAGTGCCAACAAAATTTTGAGTGAATTGGTACCCATGTTGATTGTTGAAAGCGATTTCTGAAGACACTGCTCTAGGAAAATTCAAGAGACCTTTGAAATGACCTTTGAAATATCTTGTCCGATAACAATTTAGATATTGAGTGGAACCACTGAGCCCTTTATTTGTCCTATGCATGGCTGTAGCCTGTAGCCATATTGCAATCCTCCTCCCCAGACTCGAAAAGGATTCTTCATTCTCGAATAAATTAACCTAAAATTTAGAAGTGTACTTCCGAAGGCATCCACACTTGCAATCCTAGAGCCAAAGGTCTTGGATAGATTTCCAAACCCAATCTTTACACCGGCTGGTGATGAATTGATTCTTGCTTTTCTTGGAAACTGATCCCTTCAAGACAACAGAGCGGTTACACTCTTGAAGTGGTGACGATGTCCGCCACAACCCCGTTAAACACAAGCCCTGGAGGCCCACATCGCTAATTTATAGATTGTCAGGGGGCGCACGGTTGTGGGGTTACATAGGTTGCTGTGGCGGGTAACTTAATCTTGAGCACATGCACCACCAATTCCTCAGGTCTTTAACAAAACTCAGGTTCGGAAAGTAATTGCCATATTAATATTATCAGGAAAAATGAGTGCTCAAGTTATTTCCTATCCGCTTCTGGGGCAAACCACAGTTATCGCTGAGAATCAGGTAAGATCACATGATGTAATTCCTGTTTCAGAGGCAAACTGTTCAACTGACATATGCGTAGGTTAACATCACAGTTGCGTTGTTTCCGCATAACGATGAAGAAACCAACTGGGAAGTAGCACTATGGTATGGCTCGAAGGGTATGAGCTGGAATCAGCTTGATCTCACCCGAAGTGATGATAATATACCAATAGTAAGGATATCTGATTGTCTAGCCTTGTGATTTTGAATGCAACTGACAAAAAAGCAAAGCTTGCTGCAGACCCTGAGACCTCAGTTTTGGTTTTTTCGAACACTCTGCGACAGAAATCATTAAATGAACAACATATTTGTTATACCATCAAGTACAGAAGAACCGGAGAGTCATCCTGGAGGTGGGTGAATGATGATCCCAATCCTGTTGGTGATGCAGAGATCATTTTCCAGAAATCACCAGCTACTTCACAGTTGTCTTCTATCAAGGGATATATCTCCAATTTATCAGCTGATATTCATGTCAAGTATCATGGACAGCATGAAGCATCTGATTCACCCGTATGGACTTTGACGTGCCCGATACCTGCTTCTGTCACTTCAGCTACCGAACCAAGTGTTCAACGAACTACCATTGGGTTCCCAAGGGATATAGTTCAATATTTTGCACTCGTCAAACGAATGAATTTCTGGCTAGTACCCCGTCATGGCGGATCCAAATTTGAGTTGGGCGAAGATGATTGTCAATTCTATACCGAAGATGCGGAACCAAAAGCGATTTTGGTATCTTTTCTAAGAAGTGATGGAATGAACTTTGTGATGCTTGCGTTAAGTATGAATGGTGTTGTAACGACGCTGACATCTGGTGAGAATGGGAGTATTACTTTTATAGGAAAGAATAAGAATGAAGAGGCAAGAGACGGAATTGTTATCTGTGCCGTAGGAAAAACTGTAGAGGAGGGTATCACAGCTGCAATGAGCCATGCAAAAAGGGTTGTTCGGGAAAGCTTGAACACAGAGCCTATTACGAGTGGAAGGGTCACAAAATCTCTAGATCCTAACGACGAGAAAAGTTTCCACGACGAGCTAGTATATTGTACATGGAATTCTCTAGGTCCTACCTTGACATCTACTACTCTCTTTGGCACACTTGACGATCTGGGAAAATCATCAATCTACCCATCTACAATTATCATCGACGATGGATGGCAATCCATAACGCCGTTCGGGTCCGAAACTTTCCCAAATCAACATCGTTGGTCAAGATTCGAAGCTTCATCGGCATCCTTCCCAGAAGGTCTTGCCAATCTCTCACTACGGATTAGACAATCCTATCCATGGGTCAGAAACATTGGAGTTTGGCACGGCATCTTTGGTTATTGGGGAGGTATTGAGCCTGAAAGTGAGATCGGAAGGAAGTATAAGTTGCGATGGGTAGAAATCAATAATTCGCGGCGTAGCGGAATGTGGGTTGTAGATGCTTGCGATGTGAGAAGATTCTATGACGACTTTTATTCGTACGTGTTGTTTCCTACTATTTATCATGATTTCCCCTTTCGCCCTGCCAAATTGCTAAAGCTTCTATAGATTTCTCGTCAGCTGTGGTATAAATGCCGTCAAACTAGACACTCAAGGATTACTAGACGATCTGAGAAACGCTGAAGACAGAAGAGAATTAATACCAGCCTATCAAGATGCAATCCACGCATCACTACTTTCTCATTTCGAAGACAGAGTAATATCATGCATGTCCCAATATCCAACCAATATTTTTTCTCCTCAAATATTACTCTCCTCATCAACCCATCCCGCAAAGAAAATAGCCATGCGCAACTCCGATGATTTCTGGCCCAACGATCCCGCTACTCATGCTTGGTATATTTTCTCTCTCCTTAACTTTCTTTGAGTTTACCATCCCAGACGAATACTGACTAAACACTATAGGCACATCCACACCAACTCACACACCTCACACCTAACCACGCATCTCGAAAACATCATCCCAGATTGGGATATGTTCCAAACCTCCTCCCAAATCCCCCACTACTCCACATACCACGCCGCCGCACGCTCTCTCTCCGGCGGTCTCCTATCCATAACCGATACACCCTCTCATCACGACACCTCTATTATCTCCCGGCTTTCCTGCACCCCTTTCCAATCACCATCCTCCCCACTATCTCCCCCCCTCATCCTACGCACCCACCCCGCAAAATCCACATCCGTATACCCCAGTTCCCACGCCCATCGCATATTAAAACTGCGCACCTCAACCCTCAAAACCAACATCAAAGTCCTCGGATTATTCAATACTTTCTCATCCAGTTCCGTCACCGAGATCATCGGACTTGAGGATTTTTTTCCTCTCTCGCATTCTTCTTTCCCCAAGAAGAAAAACACCACCGATGAAGATCCAGAAACAGAAACAGAAACAGAAGAAAAAGAAAAACAATACATCCTGCACAGTTCCTCCAACAACAATCTCTCTCCTCTGCTATCCCTACATTCCCGCGGAACAAACGCGAGTAAATGTTTAATCACATTACCCGAATCCGGATGGGAAATCCTCACCGCGTGTCCTTTACATACTATTCCTCCTCCTCTCGCTCTATCTCAATCTTCCCTTATCAATCCCAATTCTAACGCCAATTCCAATTCCAATTCCACCTTCAACCCCCCACAACAAAATCCCCAACCCCCCACCAGCCCACCAATCACCCTCGCCATCCTCGGTCTCCTCAACAAATTCGTCGGCGCGGCTGCAATTCTCAAGAGTTCCTTTTCATTTTCCTTTTCTACATCTCCTCTCTCTCCTCCAACCTCAACCTCAACCTCAACCTCAAACTCAAACTCAAACCTACCCTCCTCCTCACCACCACCCCACCAAAACCTCAATCTCAATCTCCATCTCCACATCCACCTAAAAGGCACCGGAATCCTAGCTCTATACATCTCCTCTCCATCCTCTTCCTCCTCCTCTCCACCATCCACCCCACACCTCACCTCCCTCCACATTTCCCACCTCTCATCCTCATCCTCATCCTCATCCCCATCCCCATCCCCATCCCCACAAACCCTCACACCTCTCCTCCCCCACCACACAAAAATCAACTATCTACCTCACGCGCGCGGATACATGGTTTCGATCGATCTACCATCTATTTTGAATATGCGATCTACTTCTCCTTCTCCTTCTTCTTCTACTTCTCCTTCTCCTTCCAATTCCAATACCAATCCAAATTCCAATTCCGCCATCGATCCCTCGAGTACGACTACGACTACGAGTACGAGTCTACAAAATCAGAGAGAACATGGGGATATATCTATATTTAACAACAAGGAAGATGCAGATGCAGATGCAGATGCAGATGGAGATGATGAAAGTAAAAATAACAGTCAAAGTGAGAGTGAAAGTGAAAGAGAGGGGATAGTAGTTAATATTGGGATTATGGTGTAACTTCTTACTGCTATACTATACTATACTGTGAATTTACACTTTGAATTTACACTGTGAATTTACACTGTGAATTTACACTATGAATTTACACTATGAATTTACACTATGAATTTACACTATGAATTTACACTATGAATTTACACTATGGATTTACACTGTCGATTTGTCGTAGTTATGGGGCGGGGATGTATAGCTTTATGGATCGGGTGGTGATGTGACATTGTTACATGTATCTAGGTATATGTAGAAGAGGAGGAGGAGGAAATGATGGATCGTTATCCAGTATCCAGAATTTTAGGTGGTTGATCATCAAGCTCCATGGATCAAGGTAGTGAGTGATATATTTTCTCGCAATCGTACAATACAATCTATAGTATCGCCCGAACAATCACAATGAAGGATCCCGAAAGTGATACATGACTTCCCACAAGCCCAAGCCATTCATTCTAGCAACCGTCAATCCATGCGTCTGGTATAGGGATAGAATCTCCGCAGCACTTGATGTATTCTGCAATAATTACAACCCAACCCGTCAATCCATGCAGCACTGTCTACTTTCCATCTTCCACTTGCAAGATACTCTACCACGTCTCTTGTATATATCTCTTCAACCTCTCCAGATTCGCGATAAAAGCCTCCGCTTCCTCCATACTCATTCCCGCATGAATTTGCAAGACGCTCAAGAAAGCACATCTCACACCCTTGGGCATACCACCCGAGCTACCACAAACATAAATCATTGCCTTTTGCCTCGTGAGCAATTCTGCAATTTCCTTTCCTTGTGCTCTAATCTCATCTTGTACGTAAACTTTCTGTTTTTCATCTCGTGAGAAAACCGGACTTGTATGTACATGATCTTTTACTTGGGCCGATTCCCATTCATTAGCAAAGAAGTAATCCGCGTTGCGATTGCGTCCACCATATATAAGATGGACTTTTCCAAACTGGACTCTGCCCTCCGGTGTGTCTTTAATTTGTTTCAAGCGTTGTAAAATCAATGAGCGTAGAGGTGCGATTCCCGTACCTGCACCGACTAAGATGAGGGGAAGGTTTGGCACAAGCGGGGGTACTTTATAGAAGGAAGGGTTCGCATTGTAATGGATCGTGAGATTTGTTCCCTTGGGAAGAGTGGCTAGATAACGGGAACAGAGACCATTGCGAACCTTCTGAAGAACGGTGCGGTATTTGACAATGGCGACGAGAATTTGGAATTGATAATCTTTGAAGGGTCTAGGATCATCGAAATTTCCGTAATTGTTCAATTCTTTAGAATTTCGGGAATGTTTATCTAGGACTACGCTGGGTTTGTGAAAGTCGCCGCCGGAACAGATACTGAATTCGCGACCTCGGATCACAGGGAAAATGGTAATGGCATGTTTCCAAGGAAGCTTGACGCTTGGGAAATCCTGAAGACATTCGAGAATGCTACGACGAGGACGAGTGGTGTAATCATAAAGTTCATCGGTATAGAGAGGATCTCGAAACTCAAGGAGGCGTTCTTTGTGTATCGGATCATTTGTATAACCGGCCATAAGCTCGAAGAAACGACGTTTGGGAATGGCCTGAAAATCAAGACTATGAATCAGTAACTCTCTGAGTGTTTGTTCGTCACCAATCTTATTGAGACCATCTGGGGCCATTATCAAGTTTTTCGCGCCGAACCAATCTGGTGATTTTGGTTTAAAGTGTAACTTCAGATCCGCAACATCGTTCCATCCCATCAAATCAATGAGGGTCTGAACATCTCCAGGAAAGTTTTTGGGATAGATTGATACAGTATCCCCAGGATACAACATGAAATCTCTGCCTCTAAGCTTAAAGGTGATCTCGCGAACATCCTGCCAGTGGTCTGGAGGAGTGACGCGCTTGTTGGCTTCCATAGTGACAATAAGTGGCGAACGATGCTTTTTAAATCCTTGTAGAAGTGCGGGCGGAGGTAATACATTGTCATCTTCTGTTTGCTCTCTATGAAAATCGGTCAACCGATTCGATGGTGGTCCTGGTGCGTCGAAACCATTATCAAATCTTATCCCAGATTCCAGGCCAAATTTATCTGCCATTGTCGCTGTGTTTGGGACGGAAGATTGGTGAGCTTGAATATCGGCTTCTCCAAGTGTATCCGGATCAGTAGAGTTTTTAGGTAAGTTGGAAGCCTCCAAATCGTTGGAAGGAGCAAGCTTGCTATTTAATGAATCAAATTTTGTTTGACCATTGTCATCTGTATTTTCAAGCGATGAACTTGATTTCCCAATATCGGTAGAAGATCCGGTTGCCAATTCTAGCCAGTATTTTGGAGGTAGAAGGACATCATCAGGAATTGGATCCAAGCCATCTGGCAATGGATATGATTCTAGGAGTTTCTTCCTAAGATCAATATACCAAGAGAGGAAAGTTCCATCAACACTGTTTACGTTAGAAGTTAGGCAGGTGCAGAGTTTGGGATGAAAGATATAAAGCAACTTCCACTATGAAGTGTATAGGCAAAGAGTTTCCAATTCAAATAGAAGGACAAGATTTCCTCAGAGAAATAGAAGTTCACTTACCCTTCATCGTGTTGTTCGTCTGCTTCACCTCTAGGATATATTTCATTCCCACCCAGCTGTTCCAATCTTTTATGTAATTTACGAGATGCAAAATTAAATCTAAAAAGTTGTTAGTATCATTTATTTAGCAAATGCCTTTCTTCCTCCCTTTCCCTCTACATGGCTACCATCCCCGTTTGTACCTACTTTGCATAAGAACTATCACCAAGACCAAAAGTGGTGAAGTTCACGTGACTCAAACAATTGGGAGGCAAACGCTTTCTCAACAGACTACTCCAAAATTTCCTTGCATTCTTTGGAAATTCCCCTTGTCCTGTAGTTGACAATGTGAATATAACAAAAGTGTACTTTGATAATTCTCTCTGATATATTCAAATAAGTATAATCTGGTTAGATTTGGGATAGAAATTACATACAACGTCAACATCATCCATCTCACATACCCTTGTCATGAAATGAAGTCTTTCTGTAATGCGTCCCAATTCTTCGGCCACATCTTGAGAGTTTCCAGTTTCCGTTCCATAAAGGATGAGTGCGCTCCTATCATGCCGCTGGCCATTGAGTATATCAGACATTTGGTACACTTAACTGATTGATGATTGTTTGTGGCAATGGCAAGTATCGATGAATGACTCGATATGATATCAAATCCATCGTCAACCCGTTGATAAGAAAAATAATTTTTGATCACCACTATCAAAGAAGTGTTGCATGTAATAAGTCACGAGACATTGGTCAGTTGACTGTTTCGAATTCCCATTTCATTCACCCCCGGGCCATACTGCTTACAGCATGAACAATTATTAACAAGAGGGCTGGGTAAGTTTTGAAAAGGTGAATCCATGTAGTATGATATTCTGTGGTTTGTGGTTGTGTGTGGTATCAAGTGATTATCGTACAACCTGTCTTGCAGTCTTCGAGAAGGAAACAAAGTCTTTGTATTGTGATTGCGAGGTAAATGACTGGTTTTCCCTTCAAAAACCTAACGGTCCATGGCTTCATGCATACAGAACAAGACAAGACAAAGAACGGTTAGCAACAGAAAGCTATAGAAGAAAAACGTTGTTTCCAACTAGCAAGCTGCAATGCAGGCATACTTATGATTATGAGTACATAATGACAACACTACATACAAAGAGTGGGAACATGGAAATTTAGTGATGGGAAGACGGGGGATGAAGATACTGATACGGTATATGGAATGAATGATTTCAGATACTATTGAGATATCTAGATACCTAGGTATAATAGGCAAGAGTATATAAATAAGATAATAATAAAAGACACTTTATTAATCAGAATTATACAAATTGAATGGGTATTTATATTTGATTATATATTGGTGAATATTGATGATGTATTTTGATTATTGATAGATACATAGAGGAGATATTGATATATGTACTCCGTAGCAATGGATCGATCTACATACTTTATTACTCGAGTATTTAAGTGGTTCTAGAACCTATTTTGATGTCATAAGAAGAAATATGACATATTTATCGTAGGTGTGAATCATCTATCAAATCTATCAAAGAGTGCCCTAACGATTTCTTGACATTTTCTTGACGTTTTCTTGATATTCTTGTACTCTGACAGTACGAGTATTATTATCATCAATTGATATTGACCCGTCTGGCACTCACATCACATGACAAAATTTCAAGCATTCAGTGACAGCATTCATTGACGGGAAATTCTATTGATCCATACGGCCTTCCCCAAATAATACTCTTGACCATATACAGGTAGACAAGTAAACAACCGCCCAATCGCCAAGTCATTGATCCTTCCCCTTTTATGATATGACTCCTTACCTTCCTTACCTTGTCTTTTTCGCCATTTCCCCATGTTATGTGGCATTCGAGAACAGCATCGAATCTCACACCGTATGATGGCTTTGTAGATTCGCTTGCTATGGGGGTTGTATCTTTGTGGTTGAATCCCGAGCTACATGTAGAGACAATACAGTACAGTACTTACTTATCATGGGGTCCCGGTAGAAAGTACAATCAATACATTTCAATCTCTAATGGTTTTACGCCATGATTCCTCCTTACCTAGGTATCTCCTATCTCGCTATACCTCTGGCGATCATGTCAACCCAACGATGAGTAGAATGTAGAATGTAGAAGATGGAATATAGAATATAGAATACACACACAAATATATCCTAGTAATCCCAAAGAGAATAACTCCATTCATTCCTCTTTACCTCCTATCTCACCATTTCCCCATGTTCATTCAATATCAAATCTCCTTCTCACCGTACCACCCGTGCCACCTGCCCACGGCCACTTCCCAATTGCCTGCCACCTTATCAATGATTCTTCCCTTCCCTCAGCCAATTAATCACGACCTTCCTCCTGCTCACGGTGGATTTCTGCTTTGCGTCGAACCCTCTGTCTAATCTCAAAATTCTCTAATCGAATAGAATCCCCATTCCCAGCCCTGTTCAGCCACTGGCTTTAATCCAATTACGGTAAGTGCCACTCGCTAAGATGCGGCTGCCCCAGCGATTCCATTGGAATTTGATATATTCTGCCCACTGCGCAATCCCGACTCCTTTCTCCCTTTCCTTTTGAACACCTCAACTTCAAGAATTCCATCAAGTGTCAATCACAACAAATCCTCAACCAACTTCCCCAAAACCAGACCACTAGGGCACCTAGCTACCCTTTTCCAACTCCCCCAATTTGTTCAGAGAGTATTAAAACACACTCCCAGCAAACGTCGATCAATTTTCAATTCAATTCAAGCTTCTACTCAGTCTTAACTACCACATACCATCAAATCAATTATCATCATGTCTAGCATCGTGGAGAAAGTTTCTGACGCCGTCACCGACGTTACTGCCGCTCTTGGCAACACATCCATCTCTGACAAGCCCGCCGAGACCACCACTGGTGAGAAGGCTGCCAACACTACTACCGACAAGGAAGCTGTTTTGGCCAGTGCTGCAGAGGGAAGAAGACTTTACATCGGTAACCTCGCATATGCGACCACCGAGGGGGAGTTGCAAGCCTTTTTCAAGGGATACTTAATGTAAGTATTGCCTCGACATCCACTTTCACACGTCATCTTCAACGTCGCCTTCATTTTTCTATCAAAATTCGTATGCCACCTGAAATCAGCAGATTTTGGGAAGCTGCGAGTATCTCTGCACTTTCCGAATATGTTTAATTTGTACCATTTTTACTACACGAGCTAATACTATGACACAGTGAATCCACCTCTATCCCAAAGAACCCACGTACCGAGCGTCCAGTCGGATATGCTTTCGTCGACCTTTCAACCCCAACTGAGGCCGAGCGTGCTATCTCTGAGCTCTCTGGAAAGGAGATCTTGGATCGCAAGGTTTCTGTTCAACTTGCTCGCAAGCCAGAGACAAACGATAAGACTGAGACTGCTGCAAGCGGAGGAGAGGGTCAATCTGGCGGTGAAGGTGGACGCCGCAGACAATCTGGCCGTGGACGTGGTCGTGCCCGTGGACGTGGAGGACGCCGCAACAACGCTGTAAGTTTTTTGAAAGTTACATTTCCCAGGAGAACAGTTTGCTGATATAACTACAGTCCCGCACTGAAGAGGGCGCTACCGAGGCACCTGCTACCACTGAGGTTCTTCCTTTGACCGAAACTACCAACCAAGCCACTACTGAGTCCAAGGAGGCTAAGCCACAAACTACTCGCCCACCCCGTGAGCGTCGCGAGCGTGGTCCACCAGCTGATGGAATTCCATCCAAGAACAAGGTCATGGTTGCTAACCTTCCATACGATCTCCACGAGGACAAGGTATGTTCAAAAACAGCCTCTATCGTATGAATTTGCTAACAATATTGTAGCTCAAGGAACTTTTTGCCGTCTATGAGCCAACTTCTGCCAAGATCGCCCTTCGCCCAATCCCCCGTTTCATGGTTAAGAAGCTCCAAGCCCGAGGTGAACCCCGCAAGGGTCGTGGCTTCGGCTTCGTTACTTTATCTAGCGAGGAACAACAACAAAAGGCCGTTGCTGAGATGAACGGAAAGGAAATCGAAGGACGTGAGATCGCCGTCAAGGTCGCTATCGACAGCCCAGACAAGACCGATGATGATGTCAACGCTGGCTCTGCTGATGCCAGCGCCGAGACTGCCGCTGCCCCACCAGCCGGTGCTGAAACCGTTTCTGCCTAAGCAGGAAACGTTGTATGATGTGAATGAGAGGAGACTTCTACAGACCTGCAGATGATAGACTAATGCATTGCTATGCGTTGCTTTTGGACCATTGTCGACGCGTTGTGGAAGCTCTCATAGGAAAGGATGGATTTGCTCCTTTGATTTACTCAATGGATCGATCATCTTTTTGACGATTTTCTTTTAGGTGGACATATGAATACTAACTCGGTGGATTTGTTAATGGCGTCTAAATAGATCTTTGGGCCTCTACGCTCTTTCTTTCCGACAGACTTAACTTTTTCATTTCCGAGTATGGGTTCATAGTTCTTCATGACTCTTTTTCAAAAACTATGTCTTATTACAATTTTGCTGGCATTCTGTGGGTGTACACTAGATTTTTTTCTGACGTGCTTCCATATGGGATGGGTGGGCATGGAAAAATTATTGATTAATGATTGATGACAACCCTATCATTATCAGATCAATGATAATAACGTGAACGATTTTACCAGCAGAATGATATCTTTTCCAAGTGACATAAAAATTGATGACGTGACCTACTGTGCTTCCAGCCAAAACTTTGATAACCCACTGTCTCTCAATTTCTGAACGAGACCTGCTTCCCCATTCGAATCGTTGAGTACCTATCGTACCCATAAATCGGTTGCCCCTTTTTTCTCAAAACCCAATCCCAATCCTTACAATCACGATACCCAGGCAGGTATTGAAGCTTGGATATTGATTGGTCTAGATCTCATTTAGCGTGGTTTGACCTCCATTGCGCGAACACTCCCAAATTTAGAACCTCAATTCCCCTTTGTAAAGCCCCACCACTTCAAGACTACAAGCGATCTACATTCGACGATAAACATCTATAACTATTCATAATCGTACATATCAATCGATAATTTAATTACTTTCACTGAATTCTCGACACTCGCGCAAGACAATCAATATCTGAAAATACGTCATTGAGCAATTGAGACTTGGAGCGCAAAGAAACCTGAGCAGGCAGTTTTATCGACAACGGGACTTGGAGAGATTAGAGGGACAGGAAACACACAGTTAGCAATTGATCCAACGCCAATAGCAGAAATGACTTCAAAGGCCATGTGGGAGGTTGACCCGGAGACAAGGTCAAAGGTAATCTCCTCTCTATGGGGCGCCCATCCTTCAGCGCAGACATCCATTGTCTCGTTTCTAACAGAACTCATACTAAACGTATCTTGAACTCAGCTCCTTGATATCTCCAAAACGAATGGAAACGACCGATGTATCGACTGTGGCGCACCTTCTCCTCAATGGGCTTCCCCAAAATTCGGCGTTTTCATCTGTCTATCTTGCGCTGGAGTTCACCGCGGACTGGGAGTCCACATTAGTTTTGTAAGAAGTATCACAATGGATGCTTTCAAGGCGCAAGAAATCGAGCGAATGAGAGAAGGAGGAAATAAGACTTGGAGGGAATTCTTCGACCAGGATGATAGAAACGTCATGAGTGGTATCACGTAAGTGGACTTTAGTTGCGACACAATTATTGCGGTGGGCAGTGGCACATAACTGACGCATTTACAGTTGGGATGATGCAACGATTGCTGAGCGATATTCTGGCGAAGTTGGAGAGGAATACAAAGAACGACTCACTGCCAAAGTCGAGAAACGCGAATACGTCCCCGTACCAAAAGCTCCTGCTTCAAAATCTACAACTGCTGCCACATCTTTCTCCAACCATAGTTCTAGCAACTCCCAGTCACAAACTCCTCTTGGAACAAGAAACGCGAGTCCTTCTAATGGTAAAGTGAAGGTTGACGATAGATATTTTGCTGGACTTGGAGCTGCGAATGCGAATCGATCCGAGGATTTACCACCTTCACAAGGAGGCAAATATGGAGGTTTTGGAAGTCAACCAATTGAGAGAGAAGATAATAATCCAAAACTACCAGGTCTTGAAGATTTACAGAGAGATCCTGTCGCGGCACTTACGAAGGGCTTTGGATGGTTCACAACTACTGTGGGAAAGACGGCAAAGACTGTCAATGAAGGATATATACAACCTACTGCTGCGAAGGTAAACTCATCTCCCTGAAACCACATACAGATTGTGGCTTTCTCATGTCCGCATAATGAACATCAACTGATAACTTTTCTTCTCAGATCGCCGAATCCGATGTAGCCAAACAAGCACAACTTACCGCCGCTCAAGTTGCCCGAAATGCGCAAACTGGAGCCAAAAGCGCCGCAGATGGATTCAATCGTTTTGTCGAAGGTAGTGGAGGTGGTCCTTCTAGGAATGTACCTATTGATGAGAGCAAGAAGGATTTCTGGGATAGTTTCGCTGATGCTGGGACCAAGAGACAACATGCACCAAGTGCATCAATTGGAACTGCGGCTGTCAAGAGGAATGGTGGAGGTGGAAATGGAAGTGGCGTCGGGGCAAAGAAAGATGATGATTGGGAAAAGTGGTAGATGGGGACTTGAAAGGGAACTTGTTTGAAGAGACAATAGGGATATGTGGATAAAGAATTACGGTTAGGTGAATGTATATACATATAGACCATATGGTCGAAGGGGAAGTTTTAGCGAGACATGCGAGAAAGAATTTAAGATTTCACGTTTTAATGGCATTTAGCTGCGTCTCGTTCAGAAATCGACTGAGATGTAGTAATGTAGGTTATATTTTTATTCTAAAAGTTTATTGTTGCACATTGTTGTTGCGCTTTCGAGATCATTGGAGCTGAGGATTGGACAAGTGTTCTGTTTTTTGTAATTCAAGAAGATTGGTATTTGTCTCGTTGGGTGAATTTGTTGAGGATTTCTGGACCAACGATTTGCCATTCTGGAAACATGGATATGTCAATAGCCTGCTGTTGTCTCAAGCTATTACGACACCATTCATATCGTCTCCTCAATTTCAAGTCGCATTATATGTTTAATATTACAAGAACGGTGGCGTAGTATAATAACCAGTATACGTAGCATCTATATTGTACACCATTGTTCACTTTGCTTTTTCAGAGGCATCAGAGTTTGAAGCCTACAGCCAAAAAACATGTAGGTCAACAAAGTATCTGTCTCTGCCTCTGGGTCATCAAATGGTATTCTTATTTCTATCTCAGGGGCGTGGTTGAAGGGACAGTATTTTATGACCGTGGCTCAATTTCAAATATTGTGGTTTTGGTTCTGAAACATCAACCAACCATCACCAAAATTCAATCTTTCACTGCCGTGGTCATCTTACAACCCGGCCAGACCACCTGGAAATGTTTATCAGAGCGCTTGCGCTTATTTCATCCATACCTTATTGCTCTACATGAGAGTGTCCAAAGTTCATGTGACCGCGGCTAGTCTAGATGTCGAGGGATTGTCGACCGCTTCCAACAGACCGAGATCCTATCGCGCGCGTAGATTATTACACCGCCACTATTCATATCCTTGATAAGTCTCTATATTCCCATTGAATCGTGGATTAATAATTAAGCCGTATTGGATATTAAAATAGCATTAAGTGAAATTCGGACGATATTCTAGAGTTACATTTTGTTGCGTTGCCGAGATACCCCTACATTCTTTCAATAAATTCTCCGAACGGATACTCACTTATAATTATGTTACTTGACCATCACTCCAAGTTCGTGAAGTCAGATGAGGAACCCCTTTTCCCACAATTTCGCAATCTTCCACCAGAGCTCCGTCTACATGTCTGGAAATACGCACTTCCAGGCGGTCGAACGCTCAAGGTAAAAGTCGACGCCTATGACGATACGCGAGCTTCCCTGCAGGGAAATTTCTCGGCTATTCCCTCCATCTGTCATGTCAATTCTGAATCTCGATGCTTAGCACTAAGTATCCTTCGCAATGGTCTCGGTCCCAATACCGAAGAATCCGATTTCTACTGGAATCCCAACACCGATACCATCTACTTCCCCCCCTCTGCATCCTGGACCAGCGGCACCATGGAAAAATATCTCTTCAAAGAAAACGTTCCCGCGTCGTATCGCAACGACGGGATCATGCCCGTCGTGCAGCATATCGCTTTACCCCTCAATGTCTGGCTGGCGCAAGGCCTCTACCTCGAGCCTCTCCCCGCTCGCTGGCTTCTCGATTGGCTGTATAAATTCCCCGCGCTGCAGTCCGTTACGCTGCTCATTGAGCCGTTTGATCAATGGCTCGGTCTCCCCAATACCGCCATCGTCTACCATGAACCGCTGGACGTCCCGGTTTCGCAGCTGCTGGGGCACAAACCCTCGGAAATGAAGGATCGGCTGGAGAAATCCCTCCTGGAGTATCGCGCCGCGAATGATGAGGCGTGGGAACCCCCCGTGGTGGAGATCCTGGTGTTGGGGATGAAGAAGTTTAAGGGGTCGAAGAAGTGTATTGAGAAGAGAACGAATCTGGATCGCGAGGATGTCACGGGGATCTATGAACATAGGATTTCGAGGGAGGAGAAAAATGCGAGGAGGTTGGTTAATAGGTGGCCGGCGGAGATTCATGCGGTGGAGCAGTGGAGTTTGATGGGGCAGCCGGAGGAGGAACCGGATTTCTAGAGGGGTTTCTGGCTCGAGGGTGAGAGTTCTTTTGGGCCGATTGATGAGTGAGGAAAACTGGCGCTGCTTGATTTTGTAGGGGTGTTATGAGGGATCAGAAGAGCTTAGTCGTGGCAGTAGGTAGATAGAATAGCATATCTAATAATTATCAAAAATACTTTTGCATGTTGACTCAATCTTAGCACTTTGATTCCAATTTGTTGGTACTAGATCTTTTAATCTTTATCTGAGAATCGATATATACCTACGGATTGGTGTTTTATAAGACTCGAGTGGGTTTCAGGTGAGGAACTAGTAAATCTGAGAAAATTGACATGTTGAGTTTCTGAGGAATCAGGGTATGCTTGTGCGATGATGATGGCGAGGTTTGATAGAGAGACTGGGGGATGGTGTTTAGCCCTGAAGCTGAAATTGGTGGAGGGGGAAAATTTGATATCTTCTAAGTTGGTTTTAATTTCGTGGATATTATGGGTGGAATCTAGTGTTAGAGCTGAGGTTTCTTTTAAGATTCTTTCCAGAGGACCTTTCACCTTACTCGATAATTCTCTCGAACGACAGAAAATGGCGAAATTGTTTTAGAGTTCCCAGACTTGGATGTAAGTTTGTAAAGGGGAGGCGTCTCAAACTTCGTGCTGAGAAAAATCTTGTGATTAACCTATATAATGCTAGGAAGAAGAGCATGCCTTGTCTTGCAAGAAAAAAGTTATGGAATACAAAATTAAATCCGGAAAAACTCCCGCACATTAGTCTTATTAAAGGCTGCAAAGCACAAGTGGTTGATGAAAGGACAAGAACGATTTGGGTACAGGATTGGGTCAGCTGAATTGTTGTGATACCATCTCCAACACATCTCTTGCCCCCGGCTCAAGTGTATTTATGGCTATCGAGCTCTCTTGTTTCCTTTGTGCAGACATATTCCATTTAGATATCTTCTACGAAGTTTTCAATTCTGATGTACTTACATGACTCACGATGGCTTCAGGTATTCTATTCCAGTATCTCCCCTTGGAAAGAACATCGGATATCCGATTACTTCAAACATCACTTTCGCCGGGCTCGAAACGCCTATATGGCAAATTTACACAGGTCTCATTAGATGTGGTACCATCAATACGAGTGCCTTACGCTGCTATCTCCTATCATTGGGGATCAGCCGATACGTGCGATCAGATACGGTTTGACGAGGGACACTACCTGGGTTTGAATAGTTCGGCTGGGAAATTTTTGAGATCTTTTGCTGCTCATTTAGATTTTGAATTTGAGCCCTGCTTTCTATGGATTGATGCTCTCTGTATTAATCAAAATTGTAATATCGAGAAAGGATCACAAGTGCGTCAGATAGGGAGAATTCATTCTTCTGCGCTGCAGGTACTTGCTTGGATTGGTGATGAATCTACAGATAGTGATCTTGCCATGGATTTTGTGGTTACTTTACACGATTTGATGATATATTTTGGAACTCCTTCTTTTTCAGATGTAATTTCGGTGCCTGGCTGTGAGCATAGATCTCCTGGCTGGAAAGCACTTGATGCTCTCCTACAACGACCATGGTTTTCGCGGACGTGGATCATTCAAGAAGTTGTGCTAGGCACCCATGTTGTTCTGCTGTGTGGACAGAAAGCAATGAATTGGAGCGCCCTTGGATTTGTGGCGAATATCATAATAGGGATGGCCTTAGAGAAGCTGCTATTGTTTCTTCAAGATGGATCATTTCCAGATGGTTTGGGTGCATCGGCACTTATCTACCACATGAAAGAACTTAGAGAGAAGGGTAGTTATGTTACTCTAAAATACGCTTTGTTTCAAGGCTTGGACTTTAAGGCAACAAACCCAAGAGATAAAGTCTACGCCTTGTTTGGTATTTCGACAAATATTGAGGCTATGGGAATAGATATCAACTATAATACCACAGTCAAAGTGGTATATACCGATGCTACAATTCGGATCTTGATTCTAGGGACTACTTTATCGCTTCTCAACGCAGCCGGAATCGGAAAATATCGCAATGATAAGCACATCTCCATCAATCATGATCTTCCTAGCTGGGTTCCAGACTGCTCGCATTTCCCAGACTCTAATCTTGTTTCTATTCCTGCTAGTTTGGAGGACTACAAAATGCCGGAGGCTTCCAAAGCCAAAAATCTCTGATTAATATCAACTCGACAAATCCAGATAGAGTCTCGATGAAAATTCAGGGTCGATCATTGTCTCGTGTTACTGCCATCTACCCATCCAGACCTACGACCGTTTACAAGAACAATGTTGGCGAGTTCCAAGTCGAGCTGAAACAACGTCGAGATTGGATTATCGAGACAATGAATTACGCATCAAGACTTGAGCCGTGTCCAAGTGGCATACCTTGGCGTCAAGTATACTCACGCACTCTTGTCAATAATAAACTGCCCTTTCCTTTCCGTGGAATGCCAGTGGAACCTCATATTGGGAGCACCTGGACGTTTTCCTCGAAGTTTTGGAAAATGTTATAGGAGCTAATGCGCAAGAGGTAAGCGAGATAGAAATGGCAGGAGGAGCAATTGAAGATTTTGATGAAGAGATTGTGGAAAAGACGCGGAAGTTTGCATCGGGGGTTGCTTTCCGTGGACGTATGTTTGAGACGGATAATGCAAGGCTTTGAATCAAACCTCGGGACATGAGTATGTTTTGGTTGGTGATTGTTATGTTGATGGGTGGATGGATGGAGAAGCTATGGGGATAGGTGAGGAGAAAGAGTTTGTGCTGGTTTGAACGTTCAATATTGAGAGTTGATTGATGCGTGGTACTGTGGATGCTTGATCATTCCTCTAGCTTTTACAGAGTATTTATTTTTCATATGTATTAGCGTTGGATGTAAACATTCGGATTGCTGCGAAAGTGATTGTTTTGATGGGGAATCTACACATAGCCAAGAGAGCTAAATATACCATTGATGTTAATTGTAGTATTTTCGAGCTTCAACTTCTCGGAGATCCTCTTACATACAGATGATATTGTATTTCATTCTGAATACTCGACTAAATGAATTTTCAGTTTGTGTTAGAGAGAAAGTGATATTTTTACTATTCATGTAGCGCGTGGTATCGTTAGACTCAGAGTTTGAATCGAATGAAAGGGAAAAGAATATAATTTTCGGTCAATCGATATAACGGTGCGGCAACTTTGCATTTTCCCGATGGAATTTTAATATCCAGATGATCTTCATTCCTGTACAAGATTTCCCTACAATTCTTCCTCTACAAGCTTCCCAGCCATGGTCACGCTCATGTATTCGATAGAAAACTGAAAATGTTGGTGTTTTTGATGGAAGCGAGATCCCATGTTGAGTTGAACCAGTCTTTTTTAATGAATGAAATCTCTCTGTCTTGAGTCTTGTGTTTTTGGATCGTGTCTATTTGAGAATCTAATAAGCGACAATACATGGTTTCAAAAGCTGAGGGCACGACTCGCATGAACAGAATGCCGTATTGCGAGAAGTAAAAGATGATATCCCGTCGCTGAACGTGTCTATCATCATATTACAGTTTTGGCATCAAACGCTTGACGGAGTAGATTCTTAGACATTGGATCAATATCCTGATACAAAATTTTATCAAAAACCTTCTCTCGTTACTCATATTGATAGATGCACCATATCTAAAACTTCTTCAACAACACACGACCTGGTATTCAAGAATTCTCACTCAAAACTTCTTCTGCAACCCTCTTCTCATCACCCGGAAGCTATTCCAATCCCTAAACCCATCCCAATCGTCCCCCTCCTCCCAATCCTTTGTCTTTCCCTCTCCACCACCACACACCCCGTAATGAGAACTCCCATTTGAAACCCCCGTTTCTCCTCTTCACTCTCACCACTAATACTCCCCCTGTACTGTATCCCCATCATATCTTTCCCCGCAAAAACATCATACATCATCACTGCATACAGATCCCCCAACTCCTTATCCCTCAGCTCCGCATTCGGATTCGAGAATGAGAGTTTTTGTGTTGTGGATGGGATTTTTTGTTGCCAAATCAAAACCCTCTCTTTGCCCTCTTCTTTTCCATTTTCCTTCCCTCCATCATGTCCTCCAGGAAATCTCCACTCATACCTCCCCTCCTTTTCCCTCCCCTTCCCACCCCCAAAATACTCCATCCCCGATTCTGCCTCCCTCTGCACCCCTTCTATCCCCACTTGCTGCACCTCTATCTTGCGATTAAATTTGTCAAATTGTGCACCTCCTAACATCACTTCATCTTTCCTGTCCTCATTCTTGATACTTCCGCTGTATATATATATGCTCGTAATTCTCTTCATACCTTCAATCGTCATTTTGAAAATAGGCAATGGCTTGGTATTTGGATAGCGAGGAGAATCGTAAATTAGGAGAGTGGTTTTGAATGCGTTGAAGAGTGTTCCTGGGATGTAGTCGATGGTTAATTCGGAGAGGTGAGCAGGAGATGAATGGGATTCGGATGGTATGGGTGGGTGTGGATTGGGGGAATAGGGGGGAGGAGGTTGAGAAAGCGAATTATTGGTCGAGTAACGAGGAAGTGGAGATGTGCTTGGATTTGGTTTCGCGGGTTCTTCGTGGTGGTGATCATGATCGTGACCTTCCCTCCGTTTGAAAATTGAAAAAGTCATTTTCTCCTTTCCTTTTGATGCCTGCCTCAGTTGAACAGGATGTAAAGATATAGAAACTCCAAACGCCGCTATAATTGATTATTGAATATCAAAAATCCCAATGAAGAATTTCAAAGCACGCAGCGTAGCAATAATCAAACATGTAATCAGGACTCAAATCATTTTCAAGTACATACATATATATACCTACCGCCCAATCATCAGAATCCCTCTCAGAATGTGGCGAAGCGAGTGATCCAGTGGCTTAGCACATTTACGCAGTATCATGTGGAAGGAACATCCTGTATCTCACGGATTGACAGCAATTCTGCCTTGTGAATATTTCGTGAACATCTTATCTAGTGGAGAGTTTTACATCTAATCGGTAGGTTTTGCCCTTTTCTTTTATTGGATTGATACTGTTTTAGTAGTGTCGTGTCAATTAGTAGGTACTAGAGCCTCAGTTTGAGCTTGGGTATCTCAATCGAATTTGACCACTTCAATAAATATCATAATGGATCGACCATAAATCAAAAAGCTAAATCTATAGCACAAAATAAAACCTCAACTTGCTTTTGATCAAAGCATTATTGAATTCAAACTGGCAGAGAACGATTGAATTATTGAGGGGTTTCCGCTAGTGGTTAATCGCGGTAGGTACGTACTGTACAACGGGGCATTCACTCCACCGAGCCCGCTTGCTTTTCCGAGCTTGGATTTATAGTGCATTGTGGGATTTCTACATTTCAAGGAGAAGGTCACACAAATCCTAATCTTACAAGGCGAAATGAGGTCGTCGTTGTTGTAAATTATCGAAGCGACTATCAACGACAAGAACAAGGATCGGTAGAACCAGATATCTTCCTCTGGACGGAGAAAGCTTGTTTTGTTTGCATCTATGTGCATATTGGTTGAGATGTAATCACGGGATGGATTGGTACAGTAAGCATTCAATAATCAGAACCCTTCGATATCCTATCTCCTGCCGAGTTTCCAAATTCACTGAGTAAATACCTCGAGTTTCTTCTCCCCAAGATAGAGGTTCCAGTGAATCGTGAATATCTCTCGGGATATCTCCAGAAACAAATGATCACATGTAAGATCTTACTTCTTGGCTAGGTAGGAAGATTACAACAGTTTTTTAATATTAATATCTCCAAATGTTGGATCCAACATTACTGCTTCGTTGCCTCCGTAAGAACTTTATCAAGATAAAATCCCGTCGGTGCTCTCTATATCTAGTATTCACATTTTCTTAACATCCTCATGAAGAAAGAAAGTTCTACAATTGTCAAGTCTTGATATTCCGAGTACCAATTCCCAATCTCTACTCTCCTCATCATTTCCATACTCCAGAACACCACAACACACATCCAACACCAAAATGTCTACCTCTGAAACCAAACCTACCTTCGTCCTCCTCTCAGGAAGTTGGCACAACCCCCAAAACTACCACAAATTCGTTTCCGCACTCGCCAGCCACTCCTATGACCTCCTCATCCCCTCCCTCCCCAGCATGAATGGCGCCCAACCACCCACAGCCGACCTCTATACCGACACCGACTTCGTCCGCTCCTACATCTCCGATCTTGTCTCTCAAGGAAAACACATCATTGTACTTATGCATTCCTACGGGGGCCAAGTCGGCACCAACGCCCTTACCGAATTTGCCGTTTCCGCTCGAAAAGCCCAAGGTCTATCTGGCGGCGTTGTCCATCTCCTCTACATCAGCGCATTCATGATGTTAGAAGGCGAGTCTATGATGGACAAAGTTCGCTTATTCGGCCACGAAGATCTCATCCCCATCGTATTCAACATCGCAGAAGACGGAACGCACGTGCATAGTGATCCTCGTACTCTTCTCATCGGATCAAACCCAGATGATAAAGTCACAGAAGCAGAGATCGAAGAATATATCTCGAATTTGAGTCGCTGGAATGGAAATGCGATGTATCAGCCCTTGAAAGATAGAGCTGCGTGGAGAGATATCGAGACGAGTTATGTGGTTACGAAGATGGATATGACTGTGTTTTTGGATTTCCAAGTGAGTATGCTGGAGGGTGTTAAGAAGGAAGGAAAGGAGGTGAAGGTTTGGGAGTTGGAGACAGGACATTCGCCTACGTTGACGATGACGGATGAGTTGGTGGAGATTGTTTTGGAGGTTGCGGGAAAGTATTAAGGGTTGGAGTGTAGCTGTGTGGTCATTGGGAAGTGGAAAAGAGCGTCTCTTTGGATTTATGGGTGGAAAAGTTTCCAGAAATCATGGTTTACTTTCTCGAGGGGAAACAAATAGTTCATGGATTCGGTTTTCTTGACTTTGAAGAATAATATGGAGTTTCAAAAAGTTACAAGTTTCTGCAATGCATGCGCCATATGATTTTTTGAGCACAAAAAGTACAAGTTATCCATGTGATGGAAAATCGAATATTGCCTCCCACTAAAAGACTCGAAGGGTTATGAATCCGGGAAAGAACACTCTCCAGAAAAGCTATAATAACCAAGTTATCAAAGCAAATTCGAGAGATCATTGTAAGATAAGCAACTGATATAT